GCCATTTAGCATTCCTATCAGCAGTGAATGAAAGTTCCTGTTGCTCCACATCCTTGCCAGCATTTGGTGTTATCAGTGTTTTGGATTTTTGTCATTCTAACAGGTGTGTATTGGTACCTCGTTTTTGTTTTCAGTTCCCCAAATATATATGATATTGAGCATCTTTTCATATGCTTATTTGTCATCTGTATATCTTGGATGAGGTGTCTGCTCAGGTCTTGTGTCCATTTTGTAATTGGATTATTCATTTTATTGTTGACCTTTAAGAGTTCTTGGTATATTTTAGATAATTGTCCTTTATCAGATAGGTCTTGCAAATGTTTTCTCCTAGTCTGAGTTGTATTCTCATTCTTTTGATCTCTGTCCTTTTAATAGGAAGTTTTACACCAGTTTCACCTCCCCTGGGACATCTTTTTGTTGTTGTGAATTCTCACACAAAGGTATATTTTCCATTGATTTTTAGAGAGAAGGGGAGAGGAGAGACAGACAGAAAGATCGATGTGTGAGAGACACATCCATTGGGGCCAGAGATCGAGCCTGTAACTGAGGTACATGTCCTTGACCAGAATCGAACCTGTGACCCTTCAGTCTGTGTGCAGATACTCTATCCACTGAGCCAAACCAGCCAGGCTGGGATAGCTTTGTCACAGCCACTTTCCTCATTTATGTTGATAAGTGTGCCTTCACCAAGTTGTGGCTGCATATCAGCCTCTTGAACTGCATTAGTGTCAACATTCTCACAGCTCTTTCCATTTATGTTCAGTTTGAATTTCACCCCAGCATTATCACCTTTTGAAACAGGAATTTTAGGTGAACATAGGCAGGTTTAGGGAATTTTTAGAATTGGGGTCCATGGAAAAAACGCATGTAGGGCTAAGAAGGGGAGAAGGTACATTTCCTTAACACAAGGAAGCCAGGTGCAGTTACATCTCCATAAGACAAGGGAGCAGCAACAGTTGTATTTACATAAGACAAGGAAGCAGCAACAGGTATATTTCCATAAGACAAGGGAACTGGAAGTAGCCAAAAAAGATCTGTATTTACAAAATAAAGAAGAAAACCCAGAAGGAATAGGAAGACCATGAGGGGGGAGGGCCTCAGGAGTCACTACAGTAACCCATTGGAAAGGGAATATTGACCAATCAGAAGGGATGTCAGGACACAGGAACTACAGCCTTTATAAACCATGGAAACAGGAAGTTGGTGGACCCTTTCCCCCTCCCGATGAGGGACTCTTCCCCTCTCCCCACGAGGGAGTCTGTAGTTGTCTCTATATATGAAACGCTAATATGCAAACAGACCAAACAGAACAACCGGTTGCTATGACATGTGCTGACCACCAGGGCGTGTGTGTGGAATATGGCAGGCGTCGGCAGCAGGTGGCAGAGCGTGGAACATGGCAGGCGTCAGCCGCAACGGAATGGTGGAGCAGGTGAGTGGGGGCGCCAGACCAAGGCAGGGTGCCAGTTGTCATCAGGGAGAGCCTCTGGTGGTTACTGAAAATTCTTTGCTCTCATGCGCCACGGTCCCATTCTCAGCGCTGTCAATGTTTGCCAGTGGCAGCTGCTGGTCCTGATCACCCCTGAGGGCTTCTCCATCTGCCCCTGCTCCTGAGTGGTGATTGAGGTAGTAGCCACCACTTGCACCCACTGATGGAGCTGGCCCCGTTTGCACCCGCTGCTGGTGCCAGCCCCAGTCGCTCCACACTGTCAGCTGGTGCGAGTGGGGCCGACACTGTCAGCATGTGGGGCTGTTGACAGGAGTGGGGCTGCCAGCAGACAGGGGACCAGGGGCTGCAGTGGGAGGGGTGGGGGCGCAAGGGATGGGCTGAGATCTGCCCCTGTGCCCATCGCAGCCTCATGACCCACAGTTCCTTTCAATGTGCATGAATTCATGCACTGGGCCTCTAGTTCTTCAATAAATCCACCTTTGCTATACTACCCTCTGTCCTTGGATTCATTCTTTGACTCCAGCAGACAAGGACAAAGATTCCAGGTTCCAGTCCAAAAATTCCGTTTCACTTTCATTTCTTAATTGCATTTTCATTTTTGTTAGTGAGTTCCCTTTTTCAATTACCCAATTTTATAAGATGGTTTATCACTGCGAAACAAGCAGCCGATGCCCCTACACACTTTATTGTCTGTGGATGAATAACAGACAGATGTGCAGGGTCCAACCATTAACAGACTGAAATAAGTGACATCACTGGTCATGGTCTTGCTGTGCATCTTATTTACATGGAGATTTGTGGACTGAAGAGCTAGCAGCGAGGTTTATACTTTATGCAGTTGCTCACAGTTACCATGGTAACTGAAGTCCAAACCATTTTCAGGGGGAATGTGTTATTTAATAAGCTATTGCAGCCAAAGTTAATGCATGACAGAACTGATGCAAGGCGAGGCCTGCCTCAAACTATTTTTCCTCAGTTGTAAC